GTGCGGCGAACGGTGACGAGCTTAGGTGGATGGATTTTTTCTCTATCAGGTAATCTAACGACTTCCTCAGTTCGTCGAGCTCGGGCTGTGTCAGTCTGAACTGTCGCTACACGGTTGGCTGTGCTCCCGGTTCTAGTTCTATGCAATGGCTGTGTGCTCGCTGAGGTGGCAACTGTTGAAATAGTTAGGCACAGGGAAGCTAGGTGCATGCTTAGGAACCATGGCGAGGGTTCTAGGTGCTAGCGAGAGTTGAGTGTCGAGAGAAAAGTCGAGAAGGAGAGGATGTTTCACTATTGAGTGAGGTACAAGATATAGCAAATAGCAAACCCTAAATTGGGTTGTACTCACTACAGAGTACCCCACTACAGGCTAAACAGCAAATACATTATGACAGCAACCCCTCCGGCAAATCGTCTGGAAAAAACCACGGCTAGTGTTTCAGTAGTTCCTGTAATTCGGGCGGTACGGCTGCTAGCAGTTTCTAAAAATCGCTCGGCTGCTCTACTTCTCCTACTAATGCAATATCCACTGTGTACACGTCAGCTCCAGCGGCGATAGCCCGTTTCATCGTGATGGCGTTAACTTGGACCATCGAAGTCTCAGATGACTGCCAGTGAGGTAATTCGACCCAGTTACCACTACTTCGCACAGTGCAGCTACCCGTCGTCCAGTCGATTCGCGGATTGTAGCGTCGCAACCAATCACGTCCTATTAAAATGTCGTGCCCATCCAGTGTCGTCGCGAGCATTTCCTATGTAAACCCGAAGTCCCCCCCGCAGTGAACTTTCACCCTCTCCACTTTCTCCCGTACGCCCAATGGCGTGCCGTCAACTAAACGCGCGTCAATCTCCGGTAAACATTGGCTAAGTGTCAGTTGCAGCTTCCGTGCAGTTGCGGTGTTAACTAAGCTATGTCTTGCTCCTCCGTCTGTAAAAATCTTCACTGCTATCCCCTGTATTTTCCCGTAAATCAGGGTAATCCGTCGCTGTACCCTCCTTATTCATCTGAGCCCGATCGATGGCGTGAATCGGTACTGTGACTCGGTGAGGGTCGGTGAGGTTGGGCGAGTAGGTTGTCTCGTCAGTAGTTGGCCCGTTTTCTACTGATTGCTGGCGTTTCCCGGCCTCTGAGACTCCCTCCCCTGCTCTGCTCTATGGCGTCTCTGCTCCTCTGGGCATTCGCTCTTGCGATGGCCCGGCCTATTGCAAGCAAAGCAACCCCCCTTGAATGGCGCAGCAGCTACATTCGCCACAACGGCGTGTACGGTGGCGTGCTCGGTCGGTTCGAGAGGGAGATGTCCGTAGTAGGACCCCGGTCTCGGACAGCGCAAAATGTAGATTTTCTCGGCGAGCGCGAGGATCTCGTTGAAATTTGATAGCCCGTGTAGCATGATTTCGTGCGAGATGTCCGGCTTCAGCCCTCCGACGTAACGGTCTACCCGCTCCGCCTCGTGCATGTAGTCGACTTGCTCGCATAGTGCGAGAAAACCGCTCGTGTAATCTTGGACCGACCCAAGTTGTTGTTAAGTATACAGTCTCTGACGCGCTGAAATAGAAGCCGCGATCGGCTCGAAGCGCGCCCGAAGCCCTGCGCACTACGCATCCCACGTGCTGTACTGGGCGGTTTCGCAGAACGAACTCCAGGTGACGGCTGGACCCGTGGGCCCTTCCTCTTGCGACGGCGGCTCGTAGGCGCGTGGCGGCGTCACGATGACTCGCCATCAGTCCACGGCGGGGCCCTGTAGCAGCGAAACAGCATATCGTATCTTAGCTGCGTCCGACTCGACGTAATTCGCATCGAAGAAGACGTTCATAGTAAAGACACACGATTGAACCGCCAGACCTCCACGTTGGTAAGAATTGAAGCAGGGCCGGCGCTGCGGTTCGAGCGGCATCGGTGTGATGATGTCGTTGTTGCCAATCGTCACCGCAAATTCGACGTGACGACGGGCTTCGCGAGGCCCGCTCGTGCTTGGTGCGGCCGTGTTCCTCTCCATGACGGGCATTGATTGGGCGGCGCCATCACTGGCTACGCCTGAGCGCTGTCCCACGCTGTTGTGATGTGACGATGTGCCGGATGAGATGACAATCGGCTCATCCGATTGCGCAGGTGCATTTGCAGGTGCTTGTGTTGGTGCTGGTGCATTCACCGTTGATTGCTGGCGGGCAGAGTCATGTTCCGCCGTGAGAGTTGCGAATTCGAATGCCGAACCTTCGAGTTGGCGCACGAGACGGTCGAGCTGCTCCTGCGTCAATGTCGCAAGGTTGAGTTCGGCCATGGCGGGGGTGTCAGGCAAGCTCAGCGAGACCCTCAGTTGTGGCCATGCGTGCTTTCGAGAGAGCACTTCGAGCGGCGGTGCCTGGACGCTGAGAGACATCTACCCCCTCCAAAAATTGAGATAGTGGGGAAGCTAAGTGTCAAACTATATGTTTGTATTCTCTCTAGGCTATAGTGGGTTAGCCTACAAGGGGTACAACACTTTAGGGTTAGTACTTGTACCCAACTGATTCATAGTTCATTCATTCCTGCACAGTGATTCTGACATGGTATTCAGAGCAGGAAACCAGATAAGTTTTTAGGGCCCACCGATAGTTCCGCTTGTTCCTGCCCGAAGCGCCCTTGCGCTGTCCGGCCCTGCTCGCACAGTGTCGCGCTGTCCTGCAGCTACTCGCACTGCCTGCCCCCCACACGTCGCGCTCTGCTACAGCTTGCGAGTCGCGCCCTACTGCCCTGCCCAGCACGCGCCGCCCTGCCCTGCAGCCCGCGCCCAGCTGCCCTGCAGCCCGTGCATCGCGATGCCCTGCCCTTAGGCCCGCGCGCCGCCCTGCCCTACAGCTCGCGAGCCGCACTGCCCTGCCCTGCAGCCCAGCGCGTCACGCCCTGCTGCCCTGCCCAGCGCGTTGCGCCCTACTGCCCCGCGCGTCGCGCTCTGCTGCAGCCCGCGCGTCGAGCCTTATTGCAGCCCGCGCGTTGCGCTCTGCTGCCCCGCGCGTCACGCCCAGCAGCCCTGCACAGCGCGCGCCCTGCTGCCCTGTCCACCACGCGCCCTGCCCTGCAGCCCGTGGCGCGCCCTACCTTGCCCAGTCGCGCCGCCCAGCCCGGCCGAGCCGCGCCGCCCAGCCCGAGCCGCGCCGCCCTACCTCGATCACCAGCCCCACTGAGCCGCCTTGCTGCTACTACTGCTGCTGCTACTGCTGCTCGTGCTACTGTTGGTGCTGCTACTCGTGCTACTGCTGTTACTGGTGGAGGTGCTGCTAGGAGTGCTGGGAGTGCTGCTGGTGCTGGAGGTGCTGGAGGTGCTGGAGGTGCGACTGGGAGTGCTGGAGGTGCTGCTGGTGCTGGAGGTGCTGGACCTACTACTGGCCATCAATGCCTGTCATGGCCACTATCACGGCAGTTGCAGCGGTTAGGGGTGGACAGCGGCGATCACTGCCTCTCCCAGACGACCCCACCCCTCAGCAGCTTTGCGAGTGGGTTCTTCAGCGAGCCCGTCCAGGTGGTGGAGGCTTTGGTTTTCTGCGTACTGCACAGAGGCGGCAGCAGAGTCAGCACGAGACCTTCTCCCCGCAAGTGCTTAGTGGGTTGGTTCCTCAGCAATGTGTCACTAGTTCTGTCGAGGCTGCAGCACTAGGTGCTAGTGAGTCTACACAGGTGGCTGAGACAGGTCAGGTGACTGCGTCGAGTCATGTGTCTGCGTCTGGCCAGCTTGCAGCGTCTTGCTCGTGTCGAGTACTCTCCCACCAGACTCTTCTCTGGCACCACCGCCTAGGTCACCCCTCCCTGCCGCGTCTCCGCAGTATGCACTCCCGTCTCCTTGTCTCTGGCCCTCCCAGGTCCCTGCCCTCCCTCCCGCGCTCGCCTGTCCCGCCGTGCCTTCCCTGCGTCGAGGGGCGGCAGCGCGCCGCTCCTCATTCCTCCGAGTTTCCTCCGACCACTGCTTCTCTGCAGACTCTCCACATGGACGTTTGGGGCCCGGCCCCCGTCGGTGGAATGGACCAGGAGCGCTACTTCCTGCTGGTTGTTGACGACTACACATGTTACACCACTGTCTTCCCCTTGCAACGCAAGGCGGACGTCAACGTTTTTTTGATCCCCTGGATCCGTGCTAATCGTCGCCAGCTGCGCGAGCGGTTCAGTCGGGAAGGTGTGGGTGCGGTCCGAGAAGAGATCGTAGGCTCTGATACCAAGTGTTACGAGTGCAATTAAGCAAGCGAGCGAGAATTGCAATATCGAAGCAAAACAATACATTGAGCGAATGCATGAGCGAAGAATAAATAACGAAGCTAGAGTGGTAACGGTAATGTGTGAAAATGGGGTGCGCTACGGGCCTAGCGCCGAGGCTGGGAATTGCTGAGGCGGAGGTCCGGAGCGTGGGTTACCGACTGAGCCGTGAGGTTGGGTCGCGTCGTGAACAGTGGCGGGAAACAGTGGTCGAGGCGAGTGTCACGAGTGGTAACGGTGCACTGTTGAGAGTTGTTGGCGGGAACAGTGGTGTACGCGTTGAGTAGGGACGCGAAGTAAGGAAAAGGAAATTTCATTACAATACTATATCACTTCTTTGAAGTCTTTTCCTTCTCACCCATTCACCGTTATTTTCACTACGAAGTTGCACCTTCGAAACGTGAACATCACCACTCCTGAAGCGACGACTCTCCTAGATCTGTTTCTTGTGATCACACTCCGCAATAGCATAATCGATATCGTGAAATAATGCCGGAATGAGTAGCCAATCAGTGCGGTGCGGCGCGTCGCGGTAGTACTCTCATAATTGGCCGTGCCATCGATGGCACGATCCCACCCAGCACGTATGGTCTTCGAATAGGCGCTTCGTCCCATTTAGCACCGTCAGCATCGTGAGCGCCTTCATCGCCGTCATCGCCGTCAGCACCACCGCGACCGGCATGCCAACCCACCATCCAACCCCCTGGCAAACCCGTCAACCCTCATCCTCGTTATTAGGCTTAATAGGGTTTCCGCGGTTTCGGCGTTTTCTGGCGCGAATGCCGCAGCGGTACGTGGTGGTGTTGCTGACGGCAGCATGCACCACGGTGTGTTATATCGAACGCGTGGGGTTCAGCGTGGCGTACTCGTTAGTAGCTAATCGCAACCACGTGGATCAGGCCACCAAGGGATGGGTGCTCTCGGCGTTTTACTACGGATACGCCCTTTCCCAGGTGGGTGACTTGCGAGTACGCCCTTTTCCAGGTTGAGGTGACGCGAATGAGCCCCGTTTTTCCAGGTGGAGGTAGCATCTGGGTACGGTGCAATGCAACTACCTCCCTGCACCCCGTTTCGCCGACCCCTGTTCCTCTTCCCTGTATCATCAGGTGTCTCCTCAGGTATCTCCTCAGGTGTCTCCTCAGGTGTCTCCTCAGGTGTCTCCTCAGGTATCTCCTCAGGTATCTCCTCAGGTATCTCCTCAGGTGTCTCCTCAGGTATCTTCCACATAATACCTCAGGAAGCCCTGCCTCACAGCGCTTTGGAGGTCGGCCGGCCATCACCGTCGCCTTCCTTGCCCGGTAGTGGTATGTGCTTGGAATTACTCTTCCATCCTCCCCCTCCCTCCCCTGATTCCCCTTTCAGACCCCAGACAGCTCTGCAGCGCAGCGCTTTGGAGGAAGCGGATCATCACCATGGGCTTTTCTCGCCTGGACCGCCCTCTCCCTCCTCGCTCCCACCCGTCCTCCTCCTCCTCCTCCTCCTCCCTCACCTCCCCCTACCTCCCCCTACCTCCCCCCATGTCACTCCCCCCATGTCAGGTGCCTGGCAGCTGTGCAACGCCACTGAGTTTTTGAGACGTCTCAAAAGCTCTGCAGCTGATCACTAGGGCCTTCCTCGTCTGGTGGTGGTGTGTGCTTCAACTTGCACTCTCATCACCCCCCTCCCTCCCTCCTCCCATGTTATTTCCAGGTCCCAGGCAGCTCTGCAGCACAACGCTATGGCAGCCGGCGGGTCATAACAGTGGCCTTCCTCGCCTGGACCACCCTTTCCCTCCTCACTCCCTCTCACCCCTCCTCCTCCTCCCTCCCCCCATTCCCCTTCTAGGTACCAGGCAGCTCTGCAGCACAGCGCTACGGAGGCAGGCGGGTGATCACAGTGGCCTTCCTCGCTTGGACCGCCCTCTCCCTCCTCACTCCCTCAAACCCGACCTCCTCCTCGCTCACCTCGCCCTCCCTCCTCGCGCTCCTCCTCATCCGCTTCCTAGTCGGCGCCACGCAGGGCTTCATCTTCCCCTCCATCCACACAGTGCTCGCCCTCTGCATCCCTCCCCATGAAAAATCCCGAGCCGTCAGCCTCACAATGTCGGGTATGTATCTGGGGGCCGGGGCGGCCATGTCTCTCATGCCGGCTGTAACGGCGGGGGAGGCGCCCTGGGGCGGGCCGGCAGCGGTGTTTCGGTGGTCAGCTGGGCTGGGGCTGATGTGGGTGGTGCTTTGGGTGCGGCTGTTTTCAAAGGATCCGCCTGGAGGAGGAGGGATGGGACGAGGGAGCAGCGGAGGTGGTGGTGGTAGCAGCGGGGGCGATGGGAACCCGCTGTCTCCCCGTTTGCCTGGAAGTAAGCATGATCTCCTACAGGATGATAATGTGAAAGACAGTGCGGTTGTGAGTGGTGGAAGCAGCAGCAGCTGTAGCAACAGTAAGGCTATTCCCTGGGGGCCATGATGAGCAGCTGGGCCATTTGGGCTATTGTTATCAATAACTACACTTTTCATTATGCACTTTATGTGCTTATGAACTGGCTTCCATCCTACTTTGAGCAAGCGCTACACACGTCGCTTCAAAGCATCGGCATCGGCAAATCCCTCCCATACTACATTATGATGATATTTTCCAACGTTGGCGGTGTAGCTGCTGATTTCCTTATCACGTCGCAATACCTGTCGATCGCAGCTACCCGGAAGGTTCTGAATACGGTTGGATTTCTCATCGGAGCCATGGCTCTGTGCCTGATGCCGGTTCTTTCGTCGGTCACCGGAGCTATTTTGTGCTCAACCATTACTCTGGGTGCTTGTGCATTTGCACGCGCGGGATTCTCAGTGAACCACATGGATATTGCACCAAGGTATGCAGGCCCCGTTATGGGTATCTCCAATACTGCTGGGACATTGGCGGGTATCGTGGGGGTGGCAGCAACAGGGTTAATTCTCCAAGCATGGGCTACGGATATTGAATTCGGATGGTGGGTTGCGTTTGTTACGCCAGCTGGCCTCTGTGTGCTAAGTGCCGCAATCTTCTGTGCATTTGCTACGGGGGAGAGGTTGTTTGATTAAATAGAAATACAGTAACATCATTTAGCAATTGTAGTATAAATTTGCCTGATTTTATTCTCTCGAATGGAAGCGTGGGACCACTAACGAACCCCGCGATTGCCGCATCAGACAACTTCCCACACTCATCATCGTACACTTCGATGGAATCGCGCTGTGGGTTGCGTGCGGCTGCTGGTGACGGACGGGGGACAACGAGGCTGGTTGGGCGATGATGATGATCTTGTAGCCGAATCATTCGCTCGTCCTTCTGCGAACTCCCGATGTTGTCGTCGTGTGCATCCTTTCCTTCTGCGGACTGCTAAAAAAAACTTATAAAAACTAGTACAAACTGATGCCCGTTTGAGCCACTCCCGGTTGCCTTGTTAAAACCGGGGTGCACATTCAGCTGAATGTGCATCAAAGGTTATCCCTTGACTGAGTGGGTTACGAGGTGTGCTTTCAACCCCTTCAAGTCGAAATTCGTTTCCCCCCTCCCCCGCAATTTCGTTTCCCCACGCCCCCGCAATTTCATTTCCCCCTCCCCGTCGAAATTCGTTTCCCCCCTCCCCCGCAATTTTGTTTCCCCCCTCCCCCGCAATTTCGTTTCCCCCCCCTCCCGCCAATCTGTTTCATCCCTCCCGCCATTCGGTTTCACCCACTCCCGCCATTTCACCCCCTCCCGCCACCTACGAAATGCCCGAAGCTCTAGCGGAATCATTTTTTTGTCGCCCCTCGTGAGCCAATCACTGTTTTTCTCCAAACCCCCTTCCCAACATCTCAAGCCGAACCGCGTTGAATGTGCACCCTGGTTTTAAGGGGGCTCATAGCTACACATGCATTTCCCCAGTGTTCGTAGGTTTCGTTACACTTGTAAAGTGCTTCTAAAAAATAATGGTAACCAGCTCATTTGTCTGTTCCGTAACAGTGTGGGTTGGCCACACTTGGCATTAGTGGCCACTCTAGCCTAGAAACAAGGCAAACCTGGGCCAACCTGGTTTGGTCTGTGATGCACGTTCAGTTTTGGTCCAAGCGCGTCCACTGTGCTATGCCATCCATGTGCCTGTACCGTGGGAGCAACTTCCTGGGGGCAAAACCTCGGGTGCAGCGTTTCCATCCGGTGCAAGGCAAATTCGAGTGCACGGGCTGGGCATCATGTGTACAGAATGTTCTCCCTGCCCTCGATATAATAGTTATCACGAACTTGCCTGCGGATTCCGGCTTCCAGCGGCTGCTTTCCCTTCATGATTGCTGCTCTACGGTCAGAGAAGTAACCCGATGCCCTGAATTTGAAATTCAGCAGGGGATACCACATGCTGTGTTGTGACGACCCAATCAGGCCGACCAACTTGTCGGAATACACGTGATGCCCTTCTTCGGACACGTTTTTCAGTGGTTAAAATCTTCTATTGTGTCTCGGCGTCTACACCGCAGTGGGATTTTTCCGGAAATTGGTGTTTTCTCACGCTGTCCTCCACATGTTCCTTGCAACCAGCAACGACGGGTGTAACAGTGTTGATATAATGTGCATCGGCCTGTAACGCGTGTGCATGTGTGAGATAACTTAATGTTGAAGGCGTAAATGGTATGAAGATATTCATGCGGATGTAAATATAAGTGAAAATTGAGTGTACATTCCAGTTGTTTTTGGTGGCTGATATTTTTGTCCCAGTCACAGTCACGGAGCAGCAGCAGCATTAGCGGTTGTTTCGCTACATTCATTTGCCACCAGTGGGAGGCTGCATTCATCCATTTGCCTCACCTTCCCGTCATCCTTCCTCCTGCTGATGATTGCTTCCCTGCTGCTTATGTCGCATCAGTCCCAACTTTTCGACCACGCTTCTCCTTGCACGTTCCTGACTCTCATTTTGAAGCGTGATTGCAAGTGTCTTTATTTGCGGTGTAACGACCTGCATCCTTCGCATGATTGCTCCCTTGCATCCTCCTGTCTTCCCCGTCGGCGGATAGGTGGTATTGTGTTTCTGTTCCTCGTGCAATCAGCCCTTCGATGTAACGCCTGTGGGCTGTGTTAAGGGCACTCCGCTGCGCCAAATAACATCCTCGTTTTGACCCAGTGGGTAGCGAGGTGTTACATTTGGAATCAGAGCCTAGGGTTCGAATCCCGGCTGGACCACACTTTCCGCCTTTGGCGAGAACTGAAGTGCGGTTGTAACCAGCTCGAACCCAGCGAACGATCCTCCGCTGGCCTGAGCAACCAGCGAAGTCGCAGCCAGCAGCACTGCGAAATCTAGGTCCCAGCGGCAGGGGGCCGACTTCCTGAAGTCCAGGGCCAACGGGGACGTTGGCACCAGGGGGGGACGAGTGTAACGCCTGTGGGCTGTGCCAAATAACACCCTCGTTTTGATCCGAACAAACCAACTGCTTAGGTGTTACTGCGTGGTTGTACAAGCGCGAGTCGACTCAAAACCAACTTCCAACTGCGTAGTTGATTGCACCAACAGCTCCTTTTCCACGCGCGAAGCGGACGTGTTTCTTGCTCCATTTGCCATTAACACGCATTTTTTAGTCAGCTCAGAAGTCGGACATTTTACGTCATCGGGCATTGTATTTTAAAAGTCCCGCGCACGACTAGCAGGATGTAGAGCACCAAATTGCGAAGTCAAGAGCTAGACTATGCCTTAGTCCGACCCGATCGCTCTAGGAATAATGTCCACATTTCAGAGCAGCACGGGAAGCGAGCCGTTATAGCGACGTCACATTGAAGTGCATAGAATCTGAAATTTCAACTCGACAGCCACATCGGTAACTAGAGCCGAAGAAGAGCAGCTCTTTTCGTTCGGCCTTCATTTGTTAGTACAGTAACAGATTTTGTTTATCAACAATATCGCGGAGTGCGATCGCGCGTTCAGGAAGATTTTCCTTTTCCTTTTTGTTATTTCCAGTAGGCCGGACCACCTTTCTTCGCCAATCTTCTTGTCGTCCATCAAGATAGCGCAATCCGGCGTATCTATATAGTATTCTGAGACTCACCCAATCTTCATCAAAGTCGGGGCGCGCTTTTGTCATCATCGAGGTGACTTTTGAGCGACTCGAAAGTTACCTCGTGATCGGAAGCTTCTATAATATTGTGAAAGGCAAGGCATCTTTATCAAGGTCCGGTCGCGCTGTCATCATGAACCTCCTCCCAGTGCGTGGGATCTTGCGGCGATTGGCTCGAACTCGTTTCATTCGGAGCCCACACGCTGCCTTATAGTAGCGCGTACAGGCGAAGGTCTTGGCTTGCTGGCTGGTATATTCACATCGACGGTGCGCGTGCGTCTATCGACGGCGGGGATTCGCCGTCAGCTTCGTGTATCGACGGCGAGAACTCGGCGCTGTAAATCGACGGCGTAGAGTCGGCGTTGGGTATCGACGGCGTGGAAGAGCCGATGGGGAGCGCAAGAGGTTTCGACGTCGTTAAGGGTTACGTGGACACGGATTACGGCCAGATACACTTCCGCAGGTGAGTTAACTGCAATCATACACCATCATTTCGAATACGGCTAAATATACTAGCGGATGTGAGCTACAGAGGTAACTCTTGAGTCGAAACGAAAGTCACCCCTTATTACAGCCACAAACACTATACAGGTAAGCTAAGGAAGTGGCTGTCGCAGGTGAGTCGACTTTAAAGTTAACTTCGTAACGGTCAGATAGGCTTCATCACGGTCAGATACACTACCGCAGGTAAGGTAACGCCGAGAAATACGGCATCGGATACGCCACTGGTACAGGCGTTACAGATACGCCATCGCGACAATGAGATAGATACCATGGCGATGATCTAGGGTTTTATAACGTGACGTTCCTGCAGCCACTCCACCGCACTCTTCCCCTCCTCCTCCCCTCCTTCTCCCGTCCAACATCCGTCCCCCTCCCTAACCCTTCCCCCCCTCTCTCCGCCTGGTGTTTTTGAGAAGTCGTGAGAACACCCCGTTGCGACAATCCAGCAAACTCCTTTCCCATTTATCTCCCCTTCCCTCCTTTTACTCCCCTTCCGCTCTCCCCACACCCCTCCCCCTTCCCCCCCAAACCTCCTCCGCGCTTCTCGTTCCTCTTCGTCGTTCTAACTTAATATTGCTCTTTCCTTTCCCCTCTTCCCTTTGCCCCCTCCTCCCTGTCCCTCCCGCTCTCGTCCTCCCCCAACACCCTTTTTCCCACCTTTCCCAACGCGCAGATGCGGACAAGGCATGCCGTCCGTGCTGCTCCTGCATGCCGCCCCGCAATCCTCCTCCATGTTCTCATCCGCGCTCAAGCGCTTTGCCGCCCGGGGGCTGCACGCCGTGGCCGTCGATCTGCCCAACTGCGGCGAATCCAGCCGTTCGTCCGTGGAGCTGACGATCGCTGACGTGGCGGAGATCGTGCTGCAGGCGATCCAAGGGCTGAGATTCACCCACACCATCGACTTGGTAAGCGTCGAACCAGGGGTGGAGAGTGGGGAGGGGGATGGTGGTGGGGGGGGAAGGGAGAGAAGGAAAGAGAAGGGAAAGAGAAGGGAAAGAGAAGGGAAAGAGAAGGGAATTAAAGGGAAATATGGCTGGAAGGGGGGTGTGGTGTTGGGTAAGAGAAGGAGGGTCCGGGATTGAATGGGGGTTGTGGAGGAGGGAGAGATGGCGGTGTGAAGGGCATTACCATTCTCTGGGGCCATTTGAATGTGGGGGAAAGGGGAGATGGGAGGGGTGAGGGGGAGATGGGAGGGGGGAGGGGAAGGGGGGTGAGGAACTTTTTTGTTTAGACAGAGTCGGTATTAACGAACTCTCAACAATAGCACGAACCCAGTGTATGCATAATAGCAGACCAGCCTTGGCTTGGGCCAACCGTCACCGTCGCACCCCATTGACTTTTGAGTCGACTCAAAAGGCAGAGCAGCCTTGGGCCAACCGTCACCGTCGCGCCCCGCCCCATTGGGCTGACTAGGGCAGGAAAGAGAATATGACCCTTTCAAATGGCGTGCACGCAGAGTCTTATTCCCCCCACCCAATCCCCCCCCCCCTCCCCAACCCACCGCACCCATCTACCCATTGCCATCCCCTAATACCACCCCACCCATCCCCATCTACCCCACCCACGCCTACCCACCCTCACCCCTCCGCATCTACCCCCACCCACCCCCCTTACCCACACAGATCGGGCACCAGACGGGGGCAACAGTAGCCTTGCAAATCGCATCAGACCTGCCCCATGTGGTGCGGAGGTTGGCGCTGTGGGGCGTGCTTGCAACGCTTCTTACCGCTCCCCACCCCTCTCCACCTATTTCTCATCAGGTGGTGCTGTGGGGCGTGCCCATGCTGGGGTTCATGGAATGGAGCGACCAAAAGGGACCTTCTCACGTGCTGCAACCCTTCCCACCGCTCTCCACGCCTCTCCACCTCCAGTTCTCATAATGTTTTCCTGCTGTGCCCTCCACCAACTGTCCCCCGTCAACACCCTGTTTCCCCCACCCACCCCCCTTACCCACACAGATCGGGCACCAGACGGGGGCAACAGTAGCACTGCAAATCGCCTCAGACCTTCCCCAGGTGGTGCTGTTTCCCAAACCTGTCCCTCCCTCCACACCCACCTCCCTTACCCACACAGATCGGGCATCTCACAGGGGCAACAGTAGCCTTGCAGATCGCGGCAGATCTCCCCCAGGTGGTGCGGCGGGTGGTGCTGTGGGGCGTGCCCATGCTGGGCTTCAAGGAGCGAGGGGTAGTGATTGCAACCCCTCTTACCGCTCCCAACCTCTCTCCACCTTCCTGTTTCGCAGCAGGTGGTGCTGTGGGGCGTGCCCATGCTGGGCTTCATGGAGCGACCAAAGGGAACCTCTCTCACGCTCTGCAACCTTTTTCACTGCTCTCAACTCCTCTGAACCTCCAGATTTCATAGTTCCCCGCTGTTTCCCCCACCCACCCTTTCTCAACCCCACAGATCGGGCACCAAACGGGAGCGACTGTGGCGCTGCAAATTGCCTCAGATTTACCACAGGTGGTGCGGCGAGTGGTGCTGTGGGGCGTGCCCATGCTGGGCTTCAAGGAGCGAGGGGTAGTGATTGCAACCCCTCTTACCGCTCCCAACCTCTCTCCACCTTCCTGTTTCGCAGCAGGTGGTGCTGTGGGGCGTGCCCATGCTGGGCTTCATGGAGCGACCAAAGGGAACCTCTCTCACGCTCTGCAACCTTTTTCACTGCTCTCAACTCCTCTGAACCTCCAGATTTCATAGTTCCCCGCTGTTTCCCCCACCCACCCTTTCTCAACCCCACAGATCGGGCACCAAACGGGAGCGACTGTGGCGCTGCAAATTGCCTCAGATTTACCACAGGTGGTGCGGCGAGTGGTGCTGTGGGGCGTGCCCATGCTGGGCTTCATGGAGCAAGGGGACGTGCTGAGGGAGGAGCCTCCTGATTACGATGGGGACCTTGAAGGCACTGTGGCGACGTTTTTGGAGAAGAGATACCCCTACCCCGTGCCCTGGCAACTCAAGGTAAGCTTGTCGTGAAGCAGTGCTGTGCGGTACTGTGGGAGATATCCTCACCCCGTGCCCTGGCAACTCAAGGTGAGACCACGAGGCCAGGAGGCCAAGGTGAGCCCAGCAGGTCGAGCAGGTGAAGGGAGGAGCGAGGGGGGGGGACGTGCTGAGGGAAGAGCCTCCTGACTACGACGGGGACCTTGAAGGCACTGTGGCCACGTTTTTTTTAGAAAAAGATACCCTTTCCCCGTGCCCTGGCAGCTTAAGGTGAGCTTGTCGTGTTAGGCTGAGACGAGTAAATTGATCTTGATGGGTTGCTGTGCGGTGCTGAGGGGTGCCTGCCTGCTGGTGCGCCTGGGATGGTGTGGTGCTGTGGGGAGGGGATTGCCCATGCTGGGGTTCATGGAGCGAGGGGGGGGGGGACGTGCTGAGGGAGGAGCCTCCTGATTACAATGGCGACTTGGAGGGCACTGTGGCCACGTTTTTGGAGAAGAGATACCCCTACCCCGTGCCCTGGCAACTCAAGGTGAGCGTGGGAGGTTGAGGTTGAAACGAGTAATTGGGTTTGATGGGTTGCTGTGCGGTTCTGTGGGATGCTGTGGAATGAGAAGGAAGAGATACCCCTACCCCGTGCCCTGGCAACTCAAGGTGAGGCCAGCAGCTTGGGGTGCTGTGCGGTACTGTGGAGTGCTGTGGAGTGCTATTGGATGCTGTGGAGTGCTATTGGGTGCTGTGCAGCTGTGTCATTCCTGGAGGTGAGCTTGAGTTGTGCTTGATGGGATCAGCAACCGAAGGCGAGGTGAGCAGCTGAAGGTGCAACATCCGACTCCCTCTCTCCTTTCCCCCTCCTCCCCTCCCTCGCCTTCCTGCCCAACACTCTACTCCCCCCATCCCCCCACCTCACCAGGTACGCACACTCATGGACATTCTACCCATCCCCCCACCTACGAGTGTCGTGTCGCCCCTGGCTCACTCCAGCCATGGCAGTAGTGGACCGCGCCGCCCTCCTGCGCTCGCTGCCCATGCCCCTGCTGCTGCTCTGTCCTGCCTGCTGCTGCTGTGCACCCTCCTGGGCACCCTCCCATGCCCGTGCTGCTGCTCTGCTGCTGCTGTGTCTGACCCTCCCCTTCTCCTGCCCCCTCCCCCCACCAGTAGCGCACACTAATCGATCTGGCTCACCCGAGGCATGGCCGTTTTGGACCACGTCGCCCTCCTGTGCTCTCTGCCCATGCCCGTGCTGCTGCTCTCTGCCCAGGCCCGTGCTCTTGCTCCTCCCATGCCCGTGCTGCTGCTCTCTGCCTCATGCTCTCCCCCTCCCCTTGCCCCTGCTGCTCCCTCGCTCCCCATTCTTGTGCTGCTCTGTCTGTCTGCCCCCTACCCTCCCCAGGTACGCACACTGATAGACATGTTACAGACGTATGAGCGTCGCCCCTGGCTCACTCGAGCCATGGCAGTAGTGGACCAAGCCGCCCTGCTCGGCTCCCTGCCCATGCCCGTGCCCCTGCTGCTGTTTCTGACCCGTGCCCTATTTTCTCCCCTTTCTCTGCCCCTCCCCTGCCCCCACCAGGTACGCACACTGATAGACATGTTACAGACGTATGAGCGTCGCCCCTGGCTCACTCGAGCCAGCCAGGGGCGTGGTCCCCTCCTCGAGTCGGACCACGCCGCCCTCCTGGGCTCGCTCCCTATGCCCGTGCTCTGCCTGTTGCTCTCTTCCCCCCCATGCCCCTGCTGCTGTGCCTAACCCTTGCTCTCCCTTTCCCTCGCCCTCCCCTTCCTCTGCCCCTACCCCCACTAACAACATCAGGTACGCACACTGATAGACATGTTACAGACGTATGAACGCCGCCCCTGGCTGACACGAGCCATGGCAGTCGTCGACCACGCCGCCCTCCTGGGCACCCTCCCCATGCCCGTGCTCTGCCTGGCCGGCGACGGCGAGCCGTATCAGAAAGCAACAATGAAGGCCGCCCTGCTGTGCAAGAACGGCAAGTACGTGAACCTCGGCTCGGCCGGCAGTGACGTCGTAGATGAAATCCCCGATGATTACGTCGCAGAGGTGCTTGGTTTCCTCTTGGAGCTGGATGTAGATGGGGGTGTGGGACCGGGGGGAGCGGGGGGAGGGTCGGGGAGAGTGGGGGGCGGAGTGGGGAGGGTTGGGGCGCTGGGGGGAGCGACGCAAGGGGAGAGGGCGAGTTGGTCGATTCAGAGTGAGGTGGTGGCGCAGGATGGGGGGAGGAAGATGTCTGCTGCTGCTGGCGTGGGGGGGGGCGGGGGAGGAGGAGTGGGGGGGAATCAAGCGCTAAGGCAAGGGTCGTTGCCGAGTAATCTAGGGGGAGGAGCGGGAGGAGGGGTGGGAGGAGGGGGAGGGGGAGGAGGAGCAGGTGTGGATGGCGGCCAGTCGCCGAGGGGGGAGGGGGATGAGAGACAGTCTTCAAGTGAGAAGAAGCGAGGGCTGCTCAAGGGGATGTTCCGATGGAAGAGTGGGCTGCAGCAGCAGGGGTGACGGCAGGCAGATATGCACAGTGAACCGCAGGGGTGGCGGCAGGCAGGCTTATGACAGGTAGATGGGAGGCAGATGGTCACTGTGATGTGAACAGTGATGGCAGTGTAGGGAATGGGAGAGGGCTGCTCAAGGGGTTGTTCCGAGGGAAGCGCGGGCTGCAACAGCAAGGGTGATGGCAGGCAGGCATATGACAGGCAGATGGGAGGCAGATGGTCACTGCGATGTGAACAGTGATGGCAGTGTAGGGAATGGGAGAGGGCTGCTCAAGGGGTTGTTCCGAGGGAAGAGCGGACTGCAGCAGCAGGGGTGATGGCAGGCAGACAGGCAGATGGCAGGCAGACAGGGAGCAGCAGACTCGCATCAGTTGAGATTACTTAGCAGCATGGGGGGCAGCGGCACTTTCGAGAATTCTCAGAAGTGATTGCAGGCAGACAGGGAGCAGCAGCATTGGTGTTGGCCGGGATTAGTCAGCATGGGGGCCAGTAGCACTGGCACTGGCCTGACAGATAGTTTTTGGCAGCAATAGTGCGTTGAGAGCGCCACGTCAGCTGGAATGGCCACTGGTAGAACTGCTATAAATGATAGCTGGAATTGCCATTTATGTCAGCTGGATTGCTGTTTTCGTCAACTGGCCGGCACGGCTTCAGCCTCCATCACAACTGCCATCACCACCACCCCTTCGATCATTTACACAGAAAGCCTTTAAAAGGTCGTGGTCTGCATGCATGCAGCACTTGCATGCTTGCAGCATGCGTGATTGTAGCTCGTGTTTTTTTACCGCATTAGTGTTTTGCTGAGCACTTGGTTTCCCCCTCGCAAATTCTGCCCTAAGCTGGGACGTTTTTGTCAAAGTACAATCTTACTTGTAGGCTATAGGGGGGCACTCCTTATGGGGTACAGCACTTCTAGGATTAGTACTTGTACCCCAACTCTTGCTAATCCTATCATTCCTGCACAGTTACGGTATTATGACATGGTATTCAGAGCATGAAACCTGTTAAAGTTTTTAGGGCCCACCGATAGTTTCGCTCGTTCCTACCCGAAGCGCCCTTGCGCTGTCCGGCCCTGCTCGCACAGAACCAAACTGCCCTGCAGCTACTCGCAGTGCCTGCCCCCCCCCCCGCACGTCGCGCCCTGCTGCAGCCCACACGTCGCACTCTGCTGCTCCACACCTCACGCCCTGCTGCAGCCTGCACGTCGCGCCCTGCTGCCCCGCGCGTCGCGCCCTGCTGCCCCACGCGTCGCGCCCTGCTGCAGCCAGCGCGTCACACCCTACCGCAGCCAGCGCGTCGCGCTCTGCTGCCCTGCGCGTCGCGCCCTGCTGCAGCCAGCGCGTCGCGCCCTACTGCCCTGCGCGCCGCGCCCTGCTACAGCCAACGCGTCGCGCCTTATTGCAGCCAGCGCGTCACGCCCTGCTGCCCTGCGCGTCGCGCCCTGCTGCAGCCAGCGCGTCGCGCCCTACTGCAGCCAGCGCGTCGTGCTCTGCTGCCCTGCGCGTCGCGCCCTGCTGCAGCCAGCGCGTCGCGCCCTGCTGCAGCCAGCGCGTCACGCCCTACTGCAGCCAGCGCGTCGCGCTCTGCTGCCCCTCGCGTCGCGGTTTGCTGCCCTGCACAGCGCGCGCCCTGCTGCCCTGTCCACCGCGCGCCCTGCCTTGCAGCCCGCGGCGCGCCCTGCCCAGCCGAGCCGCGCCGCCCAGCCCGAGCCGCCCTGCCCAACCGAGCCGCGCCGCCCTACCTTGATCACCAGCCCCACCGAGCCGCCCTGCTGCCACTACTGCTGCTGCTGCTGCTGCTGCTCGTGCTACTGCTGCTGCTGGTGGAGGTGCTGCTGGGAGTACTGGGAGTGCTGCTGGTGCTGGGGGTGCTGGAGGTGCGACTCGGAGTGCTGGAGGTGCTGCTGGTGCCGGAGGTGCGACTGGGAGTGCTGGAGGTGCTGCTGGTGCCAGAGGTGCGACTGGGAGTGCTGGAGGTGCTGCTGGTGCAGGAGGTGCTGGACCTACTACTGACCGTCACTGCCTGTCATGGCCACTATCACGGCAGTTGCAGCGGCTAGGGGTGGACAGCGGCGGTCACTGCCTCTCCCGGACGACCCCACCCCTCAGCAGCTTTGCGAGTGGGTTCTTCAGCGAGCCCGTCCAGGTGGTGGAGGCTTTGGTTTTCTACATACTGCATAGAGGCGGCAGCAGAGTCAGCATGAGACCTTCTCCCCTCAGGTGCTTAGTGAGTTGTTGTTAGAATCTTACGGGAAAAGTGAGTGTCGACTATCGAGGGGAAAGGTACAAAGGAGAAACCTAAGGGGTTGTACCACACAGTGAGTGCCCCACTAAGCCTAACCAAACTATAACATATATACACATATGTTTGACACACCCCCATAGGCAAAGTGGGGGAGAACAGAGGGTCACAAGACCAGTCAGGAAGTGCAAAGCAAGCTCAGGGTGGATCACAACGTTACCATGTAGTCTGAGCACAAGCAAGAAGGCCACAAGGCCAGTTCAAATGCAGAAATATATATGTAACAACAACAGTACAGTGAAATCTACCTACAAGAACAAGCATGCAGGAATACATATAAATCATGGTACAAACAAAGCCTACAGCAAGTGAGGAAGAGTGGGCACAAGGCCTAACAAAGTGCAGAAACGCTGATGATCACCAGGCGGAAGCGCCTTGGTGAATATATCACTAGTGTTGGCCTGAATGGCCACGTAGGTAAGATGAAGCTGGCCACGCTGCTGCAGCTCTCGAGCAAGAAAGTAACGGAGAGCGATGTGCTTTGTTCTGTGCTCCAGTCTGTGCTCCTGACACAAGGCAATGGCGGCCTTGTTGTCGACGTACAGAACTGGAGGAGAACGAGGCCGCTCTCCCAAGTCGGTCAGCAGGTAGGTGAGCCAGCGCAGCTCCTGTGCAGCCATGGCTGTGGCGTAGATCTCTTCCTCACAGCTGGAGCCGAGAACTGAAGACGAACGTGTAGAACGCCATGAAACTGAACCAGAACCAAGGCTGAAGGTGTAACCCTGTGACGACCGCTGCGTAGCCTGGTCGTCAACCCAAGAGGCGTCCGAGTGACCAGTGAGGACAACGTCACCCCATCCTCCAAGCACGAGCCCCATGCCCGATGTACTGCACAAGTAGCGTAGTACCCTCTTGGCAGCATCCATGTGCACCTTTCGGTGCCGACCAGGAGCCACGTAGCGAGCCAGAAGGCCAAGAGGGTACGCAAGGTCAGGACGAGTGCAAGTCATCAGGTACATGAGGCAGCCCACTAACTCTGCGTAAGGACCACTCGGCTCTACGGACTCGTCCGAAGGTGGAGCCGAGAGCGAGTGACCTGTAGCCAGAGGACTGGCCTGTGCTGAGGACCAGGTGAAACCGAAGCGCTGAAGGACCTGCTGCACCATGTGTGACTGAGTCAGTGTGATGGTGCGGCGTGCTCTGTCCCGGGTGATCTGCAAGCCAAGGTAGCTGCGCAGTTCACCCAGGTCTGTGCACGTGTGCCTCTTCTGCAGCTCCGACTTCACCAGGGCGAGAGCCTCAGTGTCAGCAGTGGCAAAGTCCAAGTCGTCGACGTACACGAGAACGTAGAACGGCGGCAGCGAAGTGTCGGTGCGCAAAAACAGCGACGGGTCAGCAGTCGACGGAGCAAACCCAAGAGCCGCAAGTGTCGTCCTCAGTGTGTCGTGCCACTCACGTGGCGCCTGGCGGAGACCGTAGACCGGCCGCCGGAGGCTACACTGGGTACCAGGAGGGAACGACCCAGTGAAGCCAGGAGGGCGGCGCAGCCAAATCTCCTCGTGCAGGCTGCCCTGTAAGAAGGCTGTGCTGAAGTCAAGAGAGTGAAGCTCGTAGTCACGCTGAGCGGCAACGTGCAGCAGCACCCAAAGAGTGGTCATCTTCGGGGTGGGGGAGAAGGTCTGGAAGAAGTCAACTCCCTCTCGCTGACTGAAGCCTCGAGCCACGTAACGAGCCTTGAAGACAGGCGGAGAACCTGGCAGCCACTTCACCCTGAAAATCCACATGCCACTGACAATGTTCGCCCCAGGAGGGGGAACCTCGTCGACGTAGGTGCCTGTGGACTTCCAGGATGCCATCTCTGCGTCCATGGCTGTCTGCCACTGAGAGGAGTACTCACCTGCGATCGCCTCAGCGTAAGAGCGCGGGGTAGGGATGTCTGGTGCATCCGGGTCTCCCTCAGGGGCAAGCAGCATGGATACGAGATGAGGCGCAACGGCTGCAAGACACTCAAGGTCCTCCTGCCTGTCCTCAAGGACGTCCGTGCCAAGAGCACACTCACCCCCGACGGACGGAGGACAGACAGACGCAGACTCAGCAACAAGACTGGCGGCGTAGTCTAGACGACAGTGAGCAGCAAAGGCAACAAGCTCAGTGACTAAGGACCCCCAGAAGCCCCACGCCCGGCATACCAGTCAAGAAGTTGCTGGGAAGTGGGGGTCTGGCGCTGACGCTGATGCTGCTGCTGCTGCTGCTGCGGCTGCTGCTGGCCCTGACCACCAATGCCACTACCGCTCCCTCCTCCCCCACCGCCACTGCTGCCGCCTCCACCGCTCCCAGCGCCTCTGCCGCCCTCACCACCACCTCCACCGCCTCCACCCCCACGACCACCCCCACCACCTCCACCTCCCCCGCCGCCTGCACCACTGCCACCTCCACCGCAACCCCCACCGCCCCTGCCACCCCTGCCGCCCCTGCCGCTGCGACGCTTCCCACTAGGAGCGGAAGCAGCTCCGACCCCCTCAGCACCAAGGTAGTCGTGAGCAGCAGCTGCGGAGGCGTAGGAGGGGGTGAGAGGGGAGGGGGAGCACCCCTCAAAGAGGGGAGAGCGAGGAGTGCCACGAGCAGCACCTACAGCGAGGATGTTCTTCTCTGCTGCGAGGAGGTGCTTCTCGAAGTCGTCGACAGTGAGAGTGGTGGGGTCTAGCGCTAGGAAGTGGTCCCTGACAGAGCTAAGAGTGTCAGGGAGGCGGGTGACGAGGAAATAGA